GTTTTAAGTGGAAAGATGAGTTTGCAAAGACTTTTGCTTTCCCAGTGGAAATTCCCTTGGGATTGCTGTGTGAGTGGCAGAGAAATGCTGTTCGCCCCTCAGGAGGAAGAAGCTTTCATCAGCCCTCAGTCATCTGATCCTTAGAGTGACCAAGTCCTCATTAATGTATTTGCCTTAACTCCCACTTACTGGCCATCCGTGAAATAGGATAGACGTCATTACATCCCATAGCAACAGACTTTTGGAATGTAAATGGCAAAGTAAGGTACTACAGGAGAGGGAAGTCTCATGGCTTTGTGCTGGAGCAGCAGTGAGAAACTCTGTGGGTCTCCAGGCTGTGTATGAACTCAATTAATAAGGTCCCCTAGAGACCTTACTGCTTGACTCCTTTCCATCCTCTTTCTTCTAACTGCTGTTCCTCCTGTTGCCAGTTTTGATAGCAGGAGAAACAGCTCTCCACTTCTCCAGATTTCCCTCTACATTAGCCCCTCCTTTGAGTGCTTAATTAAACACTGGGAGACACCTTGGGAGGCTTGGCTTTGTTTGTTTGCAGAGCAGGGGGCTAAAACAGGCCAACACAGCTGAACTATGGTGCTGTAATGTTGATGTGCATGCAAACCATGGGAGCAGCTTATGGCCTTTCAGGGCATCATCTGGCTTGCCATGCTTTCCCAGGATTTCCTTGTGTAGGTGAGTGCCTATTTCTGTCCTAGAGGTGGAAAAGGTTGTCTGAGTACCTGTGATGTTATCTCATCTTGCTGGAAGTACAAACAGAAAGGGAGATACACACACTGGTATGATTTTCAATAAATGTTTGGGGGGCTATTTGCTTTTGCATGCTCTGTTTTAAACACTTGGAAGTGGATGGTTTTTTTTGAGAGGAGCCATGACTAAAGAAATGAACCCACATCACTGGAGGGATAGAGTTGTAGCTGTCAGCATCCCACTGTGCTTTGATTCATAGCTTGGAGGAGGGAAGGGGAAGCAGAGACTGTGCAGTGAAACACTTCAGCACCAAACCTAAAGGCAGGAGGAGAGGGAGAGCCTGGTTATTGTCCATCCTCTCCTACATCTTCCTTGCCAGCTACTTCCAGCACACCATTCATGAGAGTTGTTAAAACTAATTCCATAGTTGCTCTTCCTCCTGTCCAGTGTCCGCTTTCTCTGCAACCGAGATTGGTTGCTGAAAGTTTTCAGGCTCCTGCCTCCTCAGCACGGCTGCCAACAGAGCTCTCCTGCTGCCCCAGCAGTGCCTGGTGTGGCTGTGAACAGCTGAGGCTGGTGGGGATCCAGGAGAGGCAGCTCCCTGTGCAGCAGGTCCATGTCAGCTTGCAGCAGTGGCTTCTGTACTCCAGCATCCTGCCCGTGCCAGTCAGGCATCTTTCTTTATAGAGCAGAATCGGAGCAGCAGCATCCTGGGGTGTTTGTTTGTAACTGAGGCAGTGAACAGTTGCACACGGTCATCATACCTGAGGGTTTGCTGCTTATTCATACAGTACTGCAAGGGGTAATGGGCCTGCCTTGAGTACTGGGCCTGTTCCTCAATACTGTGGGGAGGACAGATGGTAAGGAGAGGGAGAGGACCCCCATGGCAGCAATGGCTGTGTATTCAGGTTGTGTATTCAGGGACTGACTTGGGCTGCAGGCTTTGCCATGGCACCTGTGGTAACGAGGGCAGGGAGCTGGATCACATCTGTGTGCTTCATTCTGGGGACATTCAGCCAAACCCCTGAGACTCAGTGATGGAGGCAGGTTATTCAGTTGTATCCAAACATTTCTCATTTCTGTTTCTAAAAAAACACAAACCAAGACACCACATGCAGGCTGGGGGTATCAAATTGTTTGATTGTCGGTGTTTTGGCTGTATCTAATGTTTCAGTACTAAAGGTTTTGTTTGTTTTCATTTTGATCCTGAATGCAGGTGCTTTCAGCCTCTTGACAATCCAGCCTGCAGTTGCTCTGGCTAACACATTGAAGACCAGATGCTGGGAGTCTAAGGGCTTTTAGTGTTGCATAGGAGCCCATGTAGATCGGTGTTGCTTAGCAAACATTAGCAGCAGCAGTCAGATGAAAAGCCTGATATCAGCAAATGTGCTGTGAGGGTCAAGAGGGGACAACCTCACCTTGCAGTCCTGCTGAAATTCCAGTTTAACCACTGAGGTATGAAAGTTGTACAAAGATGGAGAAGCAGGAGCAAGCTTAAACTCAGCTTTATTTTAGTCTCTAGAAGTAACACTGAAAAGGTGTAGATTTTTCAATTACTTTGGCAATTAACACATATATTTGTGTGCTGCCTTCCAACTCCCCCACAGACCCAGATTTTAGAAGCAGTTCCCATAGACATGAAAAACAGAAGTATTCATAAGTATCTTCTCTGAAAGTTGGCTTGTCATATCTAAGACATGTAGTTTCCCTATGCTAAAGCTGAAGCAGAATGAAGTGCTGAATGTTGCTTTATTTTCCCAGAGGGGCCAAGCTGGTTATTCCCCACTGCTAGCACTCCTGCAAGACAGTGACAGGGCTAACATGCTTTCTTCTCTTGCTCAGCCTCATGACTGACATTTTCTTGTCTTAGATTAACAGGTATTTGCAATTTTTTTCAGTGGCTTTCTCAGCAGTATTCCCCAGTAGACTCTCAGGTAATCACGTGGAACCACGTATAGTCAGTGCATTATTTTGCACTCTGCTAAGCAGCCTGGCTGGTGTGCACTGCCTGGAGCAATTGCTGGGTGAAAATCACATGTGCAGACCTAGGAATTACAAATCAAAGACAGTTTTCTAAGTATCTTTAGGCATTTGGATGTCAATTTTTTTTAAAGCGGTTTTCTGGGGTTTTTTAATTTATAGGGGTCACCTTAAAATTTTCCTGTGGGACAAGGGAGGCTGGAAACATTCTCCTATGTTTATGACTTTGGAAGAGGTGTCATTTAGAGCACCACCAGGTTCGACTTCACTATTCTGTCATGGCAAACAGTTATTTTTGTGGAAGGATACATACTATTCCTTGAAAAATGTAGCCTGGGGGAGATGAGGAAGAGTTCTTGGCTGAAACATTTGCATGAAGCACTGAGGCAGAGCAGCCAGGGAATATATTGCATGCTAATAAAGTTCCTTCTTCAGTGTGAAAAGTGCGTGCTTTGTGAGTGACAGTGGGTCTTTTTTTACCTTTTGACATTCTAACTTGCCCAATAATGAGGCATCCACCAGCATGCCTTTTCAGTCTTTTCCAAAGAGCTGCCACAACTAAAGAGACTTTTCTTTTGAGAATAATCTGTGACCCAGCAAGGTTGGCTGCAATGTTTGTTTGTTTTTCTCTCTACCGCTGGTTCCTACTATTCTCTTACTCCCACATCCTATCCGAGTCTTGTTTCAAATGCATTCTTCAGCTTCTCCTTCCCTACCTACTGCATCCTGTGTTCTGCTTTCTGACTTCCTTCTCTTTTCTTAAAGCTTTTCTTTCCAGTTCCTTTTGATTTGGGTCCCCCAGGAACAAGGAATGAAACATTAACAGTTGCTGAGTACAGAGTTAATCTGGCTCTTGCTGGGAGTGTAGAGTTCAGGTGAGGGCTCTGGGAGATGTCCTTTGGGTCTGACATTGTGCCCCAGGGCCCTTAGCACCACTTCATTGCTGGAGTAGCAGAGAGGAATGTATATCTGTGCTCCACCTGCTGTCATCTACAATCCAACATGTAAGATAAGAATATTGATAAAAGTTGATCTTTGCTAAGATATGGATGTTCCAGTTAGTTTGAGTTAATTACCAAGCATTAATTGCTCTGCTGTTACCACCTGGATGTGCATCTCAGTTATAAAAAGGAAGCTGAGAAGCTTCAGACTTAGAGTAAGCAAAGCAAGTGGATTTGAATTATCTCGTGTCTTGATAGAGGATGTGGGAACTGTAGGTGCTGTGACAGCAGTTTGGAAAAAAATTTCACAGTAACTTCAGTGTGCATACCTGTGTCTTTCTAAGTCAGACTGCTGCTTTTACAGTAAGGCTCTTAGATTGGTTGGGATGCATCCCTGTGTTATCTGTACCTCTTTCAATTGAGGATCACCATCCTCATAAATCTGTGCTTAGAACATGTGCAGGAACGTCCTATGTTGGTGTCATCAGATCCTGAATATTAATCACAGATATAAAATATATTGCTCCATGTTGCATGGCTAAGGCTGGGTAATGTATGCTTTTATTATCTTTCTGAGGAGCACCTAATTTGGATATATGGCGAGTTTTTATATTGTCTGAAAACGCAGTAGAGGCCGTACAGAGAAGAGCGTTTTCCAGATGAGGTCAGCTATAGCCAGAGGTTTCACTAGTCTGGTCCTTGTGGTTCACAACATCTACTAAATGAAATGTAGAAGAAGAAGAAACCTTTTAGCATAATAGTCACTGTGTTGGAAAATTTACCTTCCTACTAATTTCATAAGCCTGTGATGCCCAGATGGTTATCAGTTGTGTGTTACTGTAATCTTCTGTCCTGCTGGTTTGTTTGTAACCAGGATTAGTCTGTTTATGTGTGGCTGCATATAACAATTAGTTTAATCTTTCACCTTATTTTACACATTTTTCTGTATGCAAGACATACAGAGGAATTCACCTTGTAAAACAAATTTGGTGTAAATTGATTAGTGAGTAGATAATACCTGTCCTGTTGGAATATTATGTACTTTTACCAACATCCTAACAGAAAAATCAATGTAAGGAAATTAAAACCTAATGTATTTGTTATCTGTACATGTATAAAATTTTACTGTGTTTCAGATTTCCAGATGATTTTATGTATTTTTCATTTAACTACTGTAATTCAAAATACTTGGTTTGGGAATGCAACTGTAGTAGGTAGTTATTTCTTGAAAATGAAATAGAACTAATAAATTACTTAATTATTAATGAATTAATAAAAAAGGAAGCTAAAATGTGATTTTAAAAATAGAGAGATACACATACAGACATGTATATATGCATTTTAGTCTGACACATCTCTTTTGACTTGTTTCAGGTTGAAGAAACTTCTTGAGCAGGAGAAGATCTATCAAGCCCGGAAGGAGAAGGAGCATACAAAGAGAATCAATAAACTAAGAGAAGAACTAGTCAAGCTCAAATCATTTGCACTCATGCTGGTGGATGAAAGACAAATGCATATTGAACAACTTGGTCAACAAAGCCAGAAAATACAGGACTTAACCCAAAAACTAAAGGAGGAAGAAGAAAAGCTTAAAATTATTACTGCAAAAACAAAAGAAGATGGACAAAAACTGATGAAATTAGAGGCAGAACTTGAACACAAAACATCATCATTTTGTCAAGAACATGAGGAGATGACTGCTAAACTGGCTAATCAAGAGTCACATAATAGACAGCTAAGGCTCAAGCTAGTGGGGTTGACTCGCAGAATAGAGGAGCTAGAAGAAACTAACAAAAATCTTCAAAAAACTGAGGAGGAACTTCAAGAATTAAGAGATAAAATAGCAAAAGGGGAATGTGGGAACTCTAGCTTAATGGCAGAAGTGGAAAACCTCCGCAAGCGCGTGCTTGAAATGGAGGGGAAAGATGAAGAGATCACAAAAACCGAATCCCAGTGCAAAGAGCTGAAAAACAAACTGCAGGAGGAAGAGCATCATAGCAAAGAGTTGAAACTTGAAGTGGAAAAACTGCAGAAAAGAATGTCAGAATTAGAGAAGCTGGAAGAGGCTTTCAGTAAAAGTAAGTCAGAATGCACTCAGCTACACTTAAACTTGGAGAGAGAAAAAAATTTGACTAAGGATTTGATAAATGAGTTGGAAGTGGTGAAGACTCGAGTGAAGGACCTTGAGACATCTGAAAGCAAGTTGGAAAAGGCTGAAATAAGCTTAAAAGATGACCTTACAAAGCTGAAGTCGTTTACTGTAATGTTGGTTGATGAGCGAAAAAATATGATGGAAAAAATAAAACAGGAGGAAAAAAAGGTTGAGGGTCTAAACAAGAACTTTAAAGTTGAACAAGGGAAAGTTATGGATGTAACAGAGAAATTGATAGAAGAAAGTAAGAAATTTTTGAAACTGAAATCTGAAATGGAGGAAAAAGTATCTAGTTTGACAAAGGAAAGGGATGAGTTAATTGGCAAACTGAGAAGTGAAGAAGAAAAATCATCTGAATTAAGCTGTAGAGTTGACCTGTTAAAGAAAAGAATTGATGGTATGGAGGAAGTAGAAAGAGAAATTACAAGAGGTCGAACTAGGAAAGGAGCAGAGCATGTTTGTCATGAGGACAACAAGATTAAGGAACTTACCATTGAAATCGAAAGATTGAAAAAACGTCTCAAACAACTGGAAGTGGTTGAAGGAGATTTGATGAAGACTGAAGATGAGTATGATCAGCTAGAGCAGAAATTTAGGACTGAGCAGGATAAAGCTAATTTTCTTTCTCAACAGTTGGAGGAGATGAAACTCCAAATTGCCAAAACGAAAGCAATAGAAAAAGGTGAGGTGGTGAGCCAGGAGGCAGAGCTGAGGCACAGGTTTCGTCTGGAAGAGGCCAAAAGCAGAGATTTGAAAGCAGAAGTTCAAGCACTTAAGGAAAAAATCCATGAGCTCATGAACAAAGAAGACCAGCTTTCTCAGCTCCAAGTCGATTATTCAGTTCTACAGCAAAGGTTTATGGAAGAGGAAAACAAAAACAAGAGCATGGGGCAGGAAGTTTTGAACCTGACAAGAGAGCTGGAGCTTTCTAAGCGTTACAGCCGTGCTCTGAGGCCCAGCATGAACGGGAGAAGAATGGTTGATGTTCCCCTGACATCCACCGGCGTGCAGACAGATGCTCTCAGCAATGAAGCAGCAGAAGAAGAAACTCCAGCAGTGTTTATAAGGAAATCCTTCCAGGAGGAGAATCATATCATGAGCAATCTACGGCAGGTGGGTCTGAAAAAACCCATGGAGCGTTCTTCAGTGCTTGAGAGATATCCTCCAGCAGCAAATGAGCTTGCTATGAGGAAATCCTGGATACCATGGATGAAAAAGAGGGAAACTGGGGCCCAGACAACTCCTGATAAAGGAGCCCGAAGCCACAGTAGTCCAGCACATCCTGGGGAGGTTGTCCTTTCACCAAAGCAGGGTCAACCTCTTCATATTCGGGTGACACCAGACCATGAGAACAGTACAGCAACTTTGGAGATAACCAGTCCATCCGCAGAGGAATTTTTTTCAAGTACCACTGTCATTCCTACTTTGGGAAATCAGAAGCCACGAATAACCATCATTCCCTCTCCCAATGTTATGCCACAAAAAGGAAAAGGCAGTGAAAGTCCCATGGGCCCAGATCGTTCCATGTCTCCAGTCACTATAACAACATTCTCCAGGGAAAAGTCCCCAGAGGGAGGGAGAGCACCCTTCGCTGACAGACCTGCATCGCCAATTCAGATCATGACGGTGTCGACATCTGCGGCGCCGGCGGAAATCTCCGTCTCTCCACAGTCACAAGACATGACCATGGGCAGGGCTGTCTTCAAAGTCACGCCAGAAAAGCAAACCGTCCCGACTCCAATCCGCAAGTACAACGCCAATGCCAACATTATCACAACAGAGGACAACAAAATCCACATCCACTTGGGCTCCCAGTTTAAGCGTTCTCCCGGTGCCGTGCCTGACGGCGCGAGCCCTGTGATAACAGTCCGGCCGGTGAACATCGCGGCAGAGAAGGAGGTGGTGACTGGTACTGTCCTTCGATCGCCTCGGAACAACCTGTCCCCACGACCTGCAGCCAGCAAGGTGACGAGCACTATCACCATCACACCTGTTACAACATCTTCCACACGAGGAACACAATCAGTGGTAAGCAGCGTGGTCTCATGGTGTGGTCTTCATGGCAGGGAGAAGGACAAACCATAGCTCCGGTTTGAGACACCAGCAGGGAAAATGGGAGGGGTGAGGAGAAACTCTTGTCTTCCCTACATTTCTTCCAGGCTCAAGCTTAACTATAAAATCAGAATTTGCCCAATTCATGCATTTTTGTACCAGTGTTGGATGCTGGTTCGCTTTTGGTATTATCTCCCAAAGCAGTTAACTTCCAGAGGAAGTCCCTTCAAAGTTACCTTCATAATGGCAACCCAGCAAAATTACAAGTGAGAAACAGAGGGACAAAGAATAATGGGTATGACAGAGCAGGAAACTGTATTTTTATTTTTGATGAGTGCAATATCTAAATTTTGAAAATACACCTCATGTTTTTTGGCTCAGCTGGCAAGTCTTTAGACTCTAATTATGCAGGCTGGCATTTCTTTGGTATAATCCCTTGATCCCCATATAATTCAGTTAATATCTGCTATATTACTGAGCTCCAAAGAAATAAATAAGCAGACATGTTATCATTGCTTACAGCTCTAAGCCTCTTTAGCCAGTGAATAGTAGAGCTCTTTCTGTTTCTCTGAATTTCTGTAAGTGCCGTATTACAATAGAGTGTCCTCTATTATATTTTTTTTGCTTTCTCTTTGGGCTTCTGTGCTGGTAACCCAACTTCTTTTTCATAGTGAAAGACTTCTCACCTCTGTCTTTAAGCATAGTGGGCAGTATTTATTGATAGTCCTCCCCCAGTTTATTACTGGACATGAGTTTCTATTGCTTGAGTTGGAAATACCCTGAGAAAGAATTTAACCAGGGTATTAAACAGAAAACTAGCAGTACTGTATTAGTCCAAAAACTTAGCTAGACAGAGTCTGCAACAGATGCTTAGGGGAAGATTATTTTGAGTGGGTAAGCACACAGTAATGTTTCCCTCAGCGTCTGTTCCCAGTTTTTGGCAATAGGTGGGTATTTCTTTCTGAACCAGAGCCTGTAGCCACATCTTTCTCTTTAATACAACATGGCAGAGTTTTTTTCTATTTATTCTTTTAATTGCTTTTTGAACTCATTTACACTGTTGTTTCCACAACATCAGGGGGCAGTGAATTCAGCTGTGGGCTTTGGGAAAAGCTCTTTTGTTTGATACCTTTTATGCAATACCTTCATTGGTTACAGCCTTTTTCTTGTATCTTGACAAATACTGAATAGTCATCCCCTGCTCATTTGTCCGTGCTGCTCGGGAGTCAGCAGAGCCCCACAACACGCCTCGTCAGCCATCTCTTCCCAAGCTGAAATGTCAAAATGTGTTTATCTTAAACTTTCACACTTCTGGAGAGAAGCTGCCATTCCCATTTAAGGCTTCTGAATTAAGAAAACTTGCATTCATCACACAGATCTGTTTGGGATTACACATGTGCTCGCTCTCTCTTCTCACCTATACAAAGTATTGTAGATACTTTATTATACAGTGTTTCCTTACATATTAGAGGCAACTGTTCATTTTTTAAAGTCTTGAATTAATTTACAAACTCCTTTGTCTCTCAGAAGCCTGGAAAACTTCTTTTTAAACTTTTTCTTTTAACTAAATGTCTGTCTCTACTGTGATGATGCAGTGAACCATGGCAGACAAAACTTTTTTGTTTTGTTTTGTTTTTTTTTTCTGGCTAAAAACTGGCTTCTTTCTTCACTTTATCCTCCCAGATTTGGAATGTAGGGAAAATAGTTCAGCCATAGGATTTACTTTATCTTATGCTTCCCTTTGTTTTTTAATGTCCCTAGTCAGCTGAAAGGCACCTTCGAACAAGCTCAAATGTGTCTTTTCCTCCCCAGCCTCTTATAAAGAAAAAAAAGTGTATTCACCATCTGTTTTGCAAATGACAACTTTACAAACACACTTCACTGCCCCTAGTCAGAAAACCCAAGCTGTGATCATTTATGCAGTAACCCTAAATGAAACCAACAGATACAGTTTTGAAGGTTTAACTTAATAAAATCGAACAAGACAAACTGATACACAGCTGCTTTCTTAGCTCACTGGTTTTAATTTTTGTCTTAACTCTGCTCACACAAGATGCTTTGTACAATGTATTAGTGCCTTTTTTATGGCAGCCTATGGATTTGGATGGTTCCCACAGAAACAGAAAAAATGGTGTTTAGTCCTCCTTAGCTTGATTGGAGTCAAACTCACTCCCAGGAAAATACTTGGACTATCCTAGCAGACCTAGGGTATGATTTTTTTTATTGCAAATGGACCACAGAGACCAGAGGGTATGGAAACCAAAATGAGCCTGCTTGTTAGTTTTCCCTTAGCACATTGGCCCAAATTTCTGTTCCCAGGACAGTTCATATAGTTTGCAGAAAAAATTCCACAGAATAAGCCCAAGTATTCTTTGTGAAAACCCCCAAAACAGTGGTGCCTACATCCTGTTTGATTTAGGCTTTCATTTGGTTATAGGATTGCTGGTGAATGTGGATCTTCTTTGGCTACCATGATGGGTGTCAGTCCTATAATCACTTAATCCCTGTACTCCCCACCTCCTACAAGCCTGGCATTGAGTGCCAGCTGTTCATGCTGCCAGGGTACACAGTGACTCCAGTGCCATGCAAATCTGCAGGGAGCAGAGGGAATCCCGGCTGCAGCAGAGCCAGCACGGTGGCACAGCACCAACCATGCAGGGCATCCTGTAACCATGGCAGGAGGGCCCAGCTGAGAAGCTGCTGGGTGCCAGAGTGAAGGGGACAAGTGTTTGTGCAGCTGTAAGGCCACTTGCAATTGGACAACATTTAGTTTGAGACCAGCATCTAAATGTAGCTCTGTGTAGGTGTCCCATGTATGCTCTAGCTGCCCTGGAGGGGCAGGGAGCAGCTCGCCTGCCTGTGCAGAGGTGTTGTGGTGCTGGCTGTGTGCCTGTGGCAACTGAGAAGTGCTGGCAAGTGTGTGCCTGTGTGAAGCTGGGAGGGATGACTGACCTGTCCCTTTCTGCATTGGCAGCTGATGGGACGCCTCAGATGGCACAAGATGGCTCAGTGTGGGCAGTTGAGTCAGTCTGTAATCTGTGTGCTCCCCGTGGCAGCACTGAGGCCTGTGTGCTGCCTGTGGTGGCTGGGGGGTGATCCAGCTGAGACATGGCTAGCTTCTGTGTGAGTTGAATTGCCCACTGGCTCTGCCGACTATATTGCCTAGATCTCAAGTCCCACCCTTTCAGGATAAAGTTACCTAAACATACTTTATTTAGTGCCATTTTCAGTGCTGTCAAGTGGTCTGCCTTCCTTCCAGCTGCTTTATCAGAAGTTTTAGGTTTCCTTGGGTCATCTGTGTTGTCTACCAGCCATGTGTACATTGCTTGAGTAGCCCAGGGCATATCAAATTGCTCAAGGTGTCTGTTGGTCACTGAACTGAATCATTTCTGTCCAGAGCAAGCTGGGGCCCGATCAGGTTGAGAACAATTGCTGAAAAACCACTTTTTTACTTAGAATATTCCAGAAACCAGTGTGTTCTCTCTGTGTGTCAATAAAATGCACCAAGCAGGATCTGTTACAAACTACTCAAACATGCTATGTGTTCTGTATGGTCAGTTTGCTTTTTTCCTTTAATGGGACTGCCCAACCTTACTGCAACTTTAGAGGTTAATACACCTGTGTCTGCAGTGAGAGCTGATTATGGCTGCACCATAGCCCCTGCATGTGTTCATCTCAGTCTCAGTAATGTCTTGTGTAACCTCATTGGGTGCCTGTTCCAGCACCATGTCTTGCCTTGCCTTGCTCAGATCCATCATCCAGTGTCCCGTGGGGCTGCATCTCAGGCACTCCATTCCAGCTGTGTAAGGGTTAGTTTCTGGTTGGAGCCACAGTCCCAGACCAACCAGAAGACAGCAGCCTACAGACAAACAGCTGGAAGGAATGGCTTTGAGTTCTTGGAAGAAATGATGGAGAGACAGGCAGTCGTGTGGGTTCTGTGCCGCAGATGCTGCAGACGTGGGCTGGATGTGTCTCTCTCTGCTTGCTGCCCCTTTCCGCGCCCAAGGGGACAGCCGGCTGGGGAGGCACCTTTGTGCCATCTCACTTGGCAAACACAAAATGCTTTTGCGGCTGCCCGGGAAGCAGGCATTAGCTTCCATGCAATCAACACGTTAGTATGCTGGAGTGAAGGCAACTAAGAAATTTAAAGCAAGTTAGAGTCCTTTTCAAAGTGCTTTTGAGTGATTTAGGCTTGAAATGAGTAACTTGAAAGCGCCCAAATCCTTAGTTAATAATTTACATGTGAATAAAGCTGAAGAAATGCCTGAGATTCCAGCTACTCCATTTGATTGCCTCATGTTTACTCACTGTGGGACTCTTTCAGGGAGTACAAGATGTTTGTCATTTGGGTTCCCTGGGATGTTGACATATTTTCCAAGGCTGATGGAATGCATTTGCATGTTTTGCCCTACAGAATTGTATGGGCCTAACTTGTTTTGACATCTACATGTGAGTTCCATATTAGCCTTTAGACTGCTATTGTAAATGTTGCTTTTAGTTATTGAAAATGGCTTCCTTCCTGTCAGGCAGACAGCATTCAAGTTTTCCAATTGTGATTTTTTTTTAGTGTACACATGGGGTTTTGAACTGTTCTTAGAAGATTAAGGAATGGTTTTCCTTTGCATGCTCAGGATGCAGACAGAAAGCTCTGATGCCACTGGCTGAAAAACACTTGTAGAGCATTTTTAAGTAAATGTATAAATGCATGTTGCAGCTGACATGGGCCCCCAGTCCAGTCTATTTCAGCAGTTAAGTTTTACTTTGCTTATATGTCATAAGTTGCAGTGTTTAGTCATTTAGCAGGTGGGTCTAGCTAGGATTACAGGATTTTAGGAGACTTGTTCTCTTTTGTGAGATCAAAGTCTTAATCCATAATCTGAACAGAAATGTCAGTCACATATGAAATTCAACCGAGACACTGAAATTGTCACCATTAACATTTGTGTCTGTATTGCACACTGCAGGAGATAAAGCCCATTCTCCTTCCAGAATTGTCATGTTTATAAGTATTTTCTTTAAGTCACGGTTTATATGGGCTAGCTCCAGATTTGACCTTGAAGAGTACGTGCATCGTTATCTGGCCAAAGCGATGGGATAGCTCTGGCCTGGTCTCCAGCTGGGGCTCCAGAAGGACACAGGAGCTGTGTTGGGTCTGCCAGCCCCAAGCCACCCACGCCAACCACTTAGGCTGTTCTTGTTTTTTTTTTTTAATTCTGAAGTACTCAAGCTTGAGGATAAGTGTGCTTGCTCAGCTGTTGTCCAGGGCAGAAGACTGGCAGAGATAGTAAAATGACCGTGTCCACACTGCCTCGAGGTATCCTTGGAAATCTGGGTTAGCAGCTTCACCCTTACCAGAGTTTCTCAAGTTGTGATTTGTGCTTGGACTGGGAGAGCCCTTTCTCACATCCCTCCTGCCACAGCCACAGGAAAAGGAAATCCAGATCTTTTCTCTTTCTCTCCCAACCCCCTGCTCTTCCCAGTGCAGAAATAAATGGCCCCAGCCATGAGCTCAGCATACTTTGGGAAGTAAAATTCAATCTTATTTACAATGCTGAGTGATCATGCCCCAGCTCCTAAAATTTGGCAGTTACCCTGGGTTCATTAGCCTCACTGGACTATGCTGTTCTGAGGACCTGTACTAGTGTCTATACAAGATGCTAATATTTTACCTGTCCTGACAGCCAGGCCAATGTTGTAGCAGCCTCTAAGGCCATCTTGCACTTTATCATGCTGTAGAATGGGAGATTTGCACAAATTCCCATCCTTGTGACATCTTGATTCAAAACACTGCATCACACCTCTGGGAAACTTGTTTCATCACAGCTGTGCCTTTGGCCCTACTCTAGCAGTATGTGCCATGGCCAGATTCCAAGTGTGAATATTACTTTGCTAATAGGTGTGATTTGGGATATTGTTGTTTGAGAGGTAAATGAAGAACCAAAGCAAAGTATAAGATGAGCATGTATGAGGAAAAGTCCTTAATTCACTGCATTTTTCTTTGTTTTGCAGACAGGACAGGATGGGTCATCCCTGAGACCTACACCCACCCGCATTCCTGTGTCAAAAGGTATGAAAGCAGGAAAGCCAGTAGTGGCAGCTCCAGGAGCAGGAAATGTGACAAAATTCGAGCCTCGTGCTGAGACTCAGTCTATGAAAATAGAACTGAAGAAATCTTCAGCCAGCAGCTCTGCCTCCCTGGGCGGGGGCCAGGGCTGATGGCGGTGGCTCAGGGGGTACGTTCTGCAGGTTTTACTGCTGCCATGGAGTCGGCTCCCCTGTCTGTGTAGCTGTTCATGTTTGCCTGTACTAACAAAGTCCTGCAGCTATCACTTAACAACAAACTAATAAGCGTGTGCACTGACTACTTAAATAACAAAATCCTTTTGTTTGTCAAATTAAAAAAAAAAAAAGGCTGTCAAAAAGGCAATTAAGGTTTCCAGTCTAGGAAGTGAGAATGGGTAACTGAAATAAGTTATTAATCTGTATCAGGAATTCTTAATGATAGACTTGGTCACTTTTTAGTAGATCAAAGGAGGTGTGGTCACTTTTACTAGATTGTTTCCCACCTTAACAGATCACTTTCCACCTTTGCTGCTGCATGCTCTACTTTCCTGCCTTGATCACATTATTGAAATGCCACATGGCCTAGGGAAGCAATGCCAGAAGACTTGCCATGTGCATTGGGGTCCTGTTTAATGAAAGCCAGTACCTCATGTGTGGGAGGGGAGGAGAGGAAGGATGGGCACCATGTGACCATGTGGCCTCCTCTCTATGAGCCTCCCATGAAAATCACCATTTCTCAGCAGGGAGCTGCTTTCTCAAGACAGTTACTAAATTCAGGGGCATAGGGATGTTGCACAATGTTTGGCAGCAATTTAATTCTTCCAGAGAGAGTCAACACTTGTAAACAAAACTTAGAAGCAGGTCCCTGACTTACACACACTGGAATACTGCTCGCTCAGGGCTCAGATGAAGGCTTGTGAGCCAGAAGGTGCTTAGTCTTCAGCAAAAGCTTGGGAAACACTATCTGGCAAAAATCAATACAATTCATTTGTGCCTGCTCCAAAGACCACTAATGGCTATGAGGCACCTCATTCCATTGACCTGACTGGGTTTTCAGTTTTCCTGGTTGGGTCTTGGGTCTTACATTTAAACCTCACTTGCCAAGCATCCTTAGGGTAAGTCAGCACAGCCTGCTGATGGCAGGAATTGCTATCTAAAGGCACAGCTCAGGTACACAATGAAAGAGAGAGGGTTTGGTAAAGAAATTACCCTCAGTTTTCAGTTGTTTAAAATATTTTGTCATAAAATGAAGACTACCTTACAATACCATGGTGATTCATCATTTTTCCTTCCCTCTTTGTGATTTCCTCATCTGTATGTTTGCATTTTTCAAGCATGTTTTAAGGAATTTTTCCAGCATGGAAATCGTGTGGATGCTGATGATTGTTATGATTGTCTATTTGATAACAGTAGAGTTATTAAAGCACATTTCCATTAAGCAATCACTTTTCACAGAAGAAAGTCACAACCAAAAGAAATGAAGCTGAGAAGACCAATAAATAATGGGTTTAAAGTTGTATAATGCTTCACTCACCTCAGCAAGCTGTGAAGGGCCCAGTGGTTAAAACAGAAAGCAAGGTGGGAAGACCACCAATAAATTATAAATAAAAATCACAGAAAGGAAAATGCACTGAAATATGAAATTTGGTCTGGGAGAAGATACTTGATGGAAGAACTCTGTCACCAAAGGTCAACAAAATTCTATTCAATCCAAGCATGTTTGGTTTTCCATCTGCTTTGCATTGCTCTCCAGTTTCACATCCAGATATGACAATTATCCCGTTGTAAAGCTGGCATTTTATTATTCACATGAAGGACATGTTTTCTTTGCCACATTAAAAAAAGTAGGTTTTGTTGTTTTACATATGTAGCACCTAAAATGCCTGTTAATTTTCAGGTTCTAGGTCCTATGACATCCAAAAATCAGATTAGTATTAGTAGCATTTTTTCATAACTCCTATTCCCAGTACTTCAGATAAAACTTGGAAAGTGGAATTAGCAAGCAATGTGAGTTAATATGTCAGAAATACATCAGATCCTCTCAAGGAATTCTTATCACTTAAAAGCCTCAGTATGTAAATAAATCATTGCTGAGATCTTACTGTTCTTTTTGTAACACAGACTTTTTAATAGATATTTAAAGGAAAAAAAGGGGTTTTTTTCTGGATATTGATTCTAAATACTGTTACTGAAGGAAGTTGTCAAAACAGGGTCAAAACAGAAGGTCAAAACAGTCAAATAATATTGCAAACATGATCCCCAAGATAATGTAGCTTGATACAGCTGCCTTAAGCCTTCTTTGCATCAAAGAAACAGTTCCTTAGTTAACTGTTGCCATATTCAACGTTCTGTGTGTGCCTGTGGTTGAAAATTTTGGTTCTGTTTGAGGTCTAAGAAACTAATTCACCTGAAGACACAAGCCAGCCTCACAGTACCTGAAACCTAGGGCACACAAACTGGCACAGCTAGAGCCAGAATTGCAGGCATAGGCTGGGAGTTGCTCCTGTAGAATCAGTAGGATTTGATGAGACAGACTTCAGAAATTCCAGAGAGGTCAGACTTAGGATCCCAGTATTTTTCCCCAGGGGCTGCACAACAAAAATGGACTTTTGCTCTGCAGTAGAAGTCTAAAGAGTTGGAATTGGGCAGCTGGTTAAACTGTTAGCTAAAGCCAGGTATTTTGTTATACTCAGAACTTTTGACATCTGTTTTAATTGACCTAATATTCTTGTTCCCTGAAGGTAGAAGAAGGGTAAGATGAAGAGAAAAGAAAAGCCTATAGTTCAGAAGTCTTAAAAGTTCAAGTCTAACTATTTGTATTACATTGAAATTTCCTCTGAATCTGAAGACAGTTATGTTTAGTGACTACATTAAGATACTCCATTCAGTAGGTCAGCTCCAAAAGGCAATTTAAACAACCAAATCTAAAAACAATGCCTAAACCCAAGAGGCATCCTGAAGATCTTCCTCATGTTCTTCCACAGACCTTATCTAGCCAGTGTTACTGTTATGACTTAAATGTAGCACTGCAGCTGCTGTACCTCACTGAGATCCGTAATGCAGGTATTCTAGTGTTTCCTCCGAGGCTTTTAAGTCAAGCCAGGACTTCATGGTCACTTAAAGTCAGGATATAACTCCACGCTGGACTGAAAAGCTGTAGTCCTGTTTTTGTCACCTCTAGCCAAGAAATTGCTCACTGACTATGTGGTTGTCCTTTGAGGTGGCACAAGTGTTTGAATTTAACTGGGAAACTGATCTGAATTAAAAGAAATCTGGCAAAAAAGCGTAAAGGCTGACTTTAACATAACTTAGTGCCAGGCTCACAGGCCAGAAAAAGAAAGAAGGGGGGCACAAGAAACCAGTTGGTGTTTTAAAATGACTGTAGGATCACGAATGCCTTCTAGTAGATCAAATACCACACAAACGCAGGGGTAGTGCTGCTTATTTTCAAAAGCTTTTGATTGAAACCTTTTTTCAAAGGTAGGAGACAGTATCTGAGGAGACTCAAACCCACATCAGCTGCAGGCAGGTTCACTGGTGGCACTGACAGCTGAGGAGGAAGAAGGTGGCATTCTCATTCCCTCCTGGAAAGGCTGAGCCGTTCTGCATGGAATGCTTCAGTATTCACTGAGCAGAAACAAGGGAGTGGTTGAGGGGTCAGGATATTGAACTAGGAGGGAGCCCTCCCCAGATCTGTGTCCCTGTTCCAAAGGCTGCCTTTGAGCCTGGCCCTGTTGAAAAGGAGGCTTATAAGATGAAGTGTCTGTGTTCATCCATCCTTCCATCTCTCCTTCCCTAATGAATAACACTGAACAACCAACCAATTTCATGCAAACCTGACAGAGTGATAGGGATCTCCAGAATAAGAAGTTTTTCCAGTTTAATGAAAAGGACGGCAGAGAAGAGGAACAAGAGCTTAGCAGTGCCTTACTGTGTGGAAGAGTAGGGCATGAGCTCACCTTCAGACAGCATCAAAGAATAAACACAAGAGTGATGTCATAAATGCCACAAGGACAAGCTTTGTTCAGACCTCAGATTTTACTAGGCACCAAAGAATCAATCTCTGACACATCAATCCAAAGGATAATATTAGGGCTTTATTTACAGGGCTTTCGTGTATTCTGCATTACTGGATTATAATGCATAATAAACTAAGCCTTCCTAAATGATCATTTGCTTATGCTTTCTCTCTCTTAACTTTTTTCTGTCATTTTGTTTGGCTTTTTTGTAATGAAGTGGAACAATTTCAGTAGCAAAATAATGCACTCAGAATCATAATGATAGTTGCAATACTTTGTCAGGAACTAAGATGACTGAGTAATCTTTGTACCTTTAGTCATAATCAGTGTCAGCTGGAGAGAAGCCCTGTTTTGGCTGATGACATGGCCATATATGAAGTTGTGATAACTCAAGCCCAGCAGTAGTAATTCATGGCTTAGCACCAGCAGTAAGGTGGAGAGGGGGAAGAGCAGGGAAAATGCCAGCCCATTCATGAGCAGCACACATGGACTGAGAAGGTGCACCCTCACTTCTCCAGATGATCTCTCTGATTTTAAGTTTAGTTCCTAGCAAGTTTTCTACTGTGTTCCCTGAGTCAGATCCCATCCCACCAGACTTACTGCTGCATAGGGGTTTTGCTAATGTAGTCATTAGTAGATCAATACAGTTGAGTAAGTGTGACTGAAGAAGGAGCACAGAGCTTCAACTGTAATGCCTAGAGGGATTTCTCTCAGAATAGTAAACATCCTAAGCAAATGGTAGAAGAATAATTGAGATCTTGATTTGCTTTGCTCACTTTTTTTTCCTTTTGGGACACCTGTTAGTGTGATTTTTCAGAAACCAAACACTTTGTGACTCTTTGTAATTTGCCCATGCAGAACATGTCACTGTATTTAGACCTCAAACCACTTAAAGCACATAGTAATTACCACCATGGGAGTAATCTCTAAAGCCACATTAATATGTTGATCCAAGCCAACAGGATGCCAAGTCATATGTCACTGCTTGAAATATGTCATGCAGAATACATGAATACATTCAGTAATTCTGATCAGATGTGGAAGAGCATAGAGTAAGCTACTGTCCCTCTGGGTTTCAGGTACTTGGCATAAGCTGCAACAGTCAGGACAGTTTTCAGACCAATTATATGTTCCCATCACACATCAGTGGCCAATTTCATTGAGTTGCTTTGAAACACAGTTTGCCGGCAGGAATTTTTGTGAGCTCATCTTTTGAACTTGCTTTCATTTAGGGGAATGGTTTTCTCCCCTGTGTCAGTGTGAGTTACCCTCTTTCTCCTTATTTTGCTTGAGCTCTCTTGGGCAAAATTATATGCAATATTTCTCATTATAAATATTAACTTCACTTTGAATCTTACTCCCTACACATTGCTCTTACCTTGGCTTTTTTTCCTTAAAATGAAACCAGGGTTAACTACTGTCAGGTGCAGAGCTATCAGCTCTTGGGTATGAAACACTCAGGTGTGAATGGTTCTCTAAACAAAAAAACCCTCTCCTTGGGCTTTTAAAAACAGAAATACTGATGTATGGTTCTCTTTTGTTGCTTGGGTGTGCATTGTCTGTGGTACATTCATTTTTGTATTATCTGGTGATACTTGTATATATTGTAAGGAGAAATTAAACTTTATATGTTGAAATGTCACTTGATGTGCTTTATTATATGAACTGGTATCCTGATGTGTTTCCTCGAGAAGTTCTGCTTTACATCAGGAGGACTGAAAGCAGAATTAGCTGTATTGCATTAACTTCATTTTCTTTTTCTGTCATAAAAATAAATTGTTTTGTTTAAGTGAATACTTAGCTCCTTGAAATATTTCCATCTAGAATCCTAAAATTTATTTAATCATATCCTTCAAATATAATCATATTCCTACACAGGATGGCCCAAAAGCACTCTGACAAAATTGGCTCTACTCTAATTGTGTATATATATATATTCATACATACAAATCAGTATGTAAGGATTTCAAATAGAAATAACTGAGACAAACTTAGAGTGTGTGTTCTCTAGACATGTGAAAAATGAATGGAAGATAAATATCACTGGAAATTATTTGAGTTTTTAAAAAAATATTTTTTCTCCTACTTTTTTCTGCGCAATTACTCTTTGGGTCTGTAGGAGAAAGATGTCTGATTCAGACACTGACTGTAGTTTTGCTGTTTATTCGGTGACTGAGCCTTAACAAGGAGTGTGATATTTTTCTGCTGCGCATTTTTTAGAATTTTGTCTCTTTATTAAATGCACATAGTGAATATCAAAAAAAATTCTTAAAAAATATTTTTAATATTTAGAAAATAATTTGCAAATGTAGCTTTTAACATCATATTCCACAGGAGCTTCAAGTTAGCACAGTTAGAACAGTAAGGTAAAATCTTGCAATAGTTTGTGGTTCTTTCACATTCACTGCTCAAATATGGTGGAACTGATATACATTTCTTGTTGAAAATATTTCGTTATTGATAAAATTTATGGAAAATAAATACTTTCAATTCGGGAAATTCTATTATTTCATTTGCCTTAAGGTATTTTATTGGACGTTGCCTCATCCTTGCTCTTACTTCACCACGTATTAAAAGCAGCACTGGGATCTGCCATCTAGTGGCAAAGTTCTGGCAGTAAGAGTGCATGGAAAATATTTTCATTTTACTTTCTTCTTAGAATGTAATTTCATGAAACACCTTGCAAATATTAGTTAGGAGCAGATAAAGGCAGAAGCCAACAAAATTGCAAAATTTATATATATATATTTATGTAAAAGTTATATATATATATTTATTAAAAAGGCAAAATTTATATCAATAGTGTCATTTCTTGGGTCCTGTAAATTTTGAAAAATCTTCATACTATTAAGAAAGGAAGGTAACAAAAGTAATTTCAATTAATATTTCTGAAAATGTATAACTGTATGCTTTAATTAGTATTGGTACAGCTACATTATTTGAAATTCATAAAAGACACTTTTTCAGAGAAAAACGTTAGTTGACAGTTAAATTCTTATATTAAAAAGGTTGCCTGTAAGAGCTGCATATATAGGTAGAAGAACAGAAGACCAGGCCATTAGTACTTCAGCAGATTAATCAGGGTCAGGGACCTCTGGTACTACACACAGGGCAAATTACACCCAGCATTTTAAATAAAATGCCAACACCCAGTTTTGCAAGCTGTGGCTGAAATTTATCCCCATTAAAGTCAGTAGCAAAATTCAAGAAGACTTGCTGAATAAACACAGCATAGGTTTATAAACCAAGTTTAAATTTAAAAAAATGAGAAATGACCCCATACCTCTTCCTCATCTCTATTTATGAATTGCCACCAGATTTATGATGAAGTTGCTTAGACAATATACTAGACACCCAACTCCAAGTCTTTCTCTACCTAGTTTGGATGTGGAACTGGACCTTTGGTGTCCCTCTGCTTTAATCCATTCAACTGTATTACTCCTTTTTCCCTATGGACAACCAAATGATGGTCTTGACATTGAAGTGGAAGCCAAGGCCCTCTGAGCCCTTGACAGGTACTAATTTAGTTTCCCTTTCTAGCATTAGCCAGGACAGTTTTATCAAGCAGGGATGTGAGAGTATGTTTGTGACACTTTTTAGAAAAATGCCTTGCACTGCCACTGTAATTGTTCTTCTTTAAAGTAAGCTGCAATGCGTTTGTAGTTCCATAAACCCGAATGTTTTGCTCTCTTTTCTTTTAGAGAGTGTCATCATTCACCAGTTACGCGTGAACTCTAGATGAGTTACCGCCCGTAGAGCTCTCTGTGTGCACTACCCTCCATGCCTGTGGATGGATCACTGCAGAAGCTCTCTGCCATCAACACCATGGTCACTTGTGCTACTGATTACTTATGGAAGTGTTAGGCTTCCATTAGGTTTTATATTTTTTTTTTCTTGGTAGAGCTTTAAAAACCAATGGCCTTGCTGGTATTTTAAAAGTATCTAATCAGAGAGAGAGCAGCAGTCTTTCTGCCAGCTGAATTTCACTCTCAATTGCAAAGCCTAAGGCACGTGCTTGATTTTGTTTGATATTTGCCATATAATTTATTTTTATAATACACTTTGTAAAGTAGCTGTGCCAAAGTTGCAATTCCTGTTGCTTATGACACATTTATTTGTAGAATACACTGTCAAATTTGCAATTTGATATTTTTGTAATGGAGAGTATGTGAAGAAATGTTTTCTGTTTAAATGGAAAAGTATTCAGTATATTTTTTTTTGCCACCATGAGATTCTGTGAGACTAAATACTCTGAAGACTGCTGTATGGAATTTGTTGCAGAATATTTCTTACACTGTGTGATGGTTTGGCATAAAATTAAGTATTAAAGTCCAATGCCTTGAAATACAACCAAATTTACTCATTTTAAACTATGTAAGTCAGTTTTTAAAGCTGTGATTTTTTTCTATATAAAGTATGTTTTTACTTCTGCCTGTACCAAAAAAGTTGATTTTCATTACACTGTAACTAATAAATTTTCACAACTATGCAAATGTAATCAGGTGTTTGCATTTAAACTCCAGTTTCTTTAGGTTGGCATTGCTCATCCATGTATTTGTTTATGGGAACAGAATATGGGTTTGGAAGTTCCTTTTTTTGACTGGTGTCTCATACAGTGTCACAGTGATGTACAGGGTGAAACTGATTCATAGAATCATAGAATGGTTTGGGTTGTTAGGCCCTTAAGGATTGCGTAGTTCCAGTCCCCCTGCCATGGGCAGGCATGCTTTCCACTAGATCAGGTTTCTCAAAGCCCCATCCAATCTGGCCTTGAACATTTCCAGGAAAGCTGTTCAGCAGCTTCTCTGGGCATTTTGTTCCAGTGTCTCACCACCCTCAAAGTGAAAAACTTCTTCCTAGCATCTAATCTAAACCTACTGTCTTTCAGTTTGAAACCATTCCTCCTTGTCCTGTCACTACATGCCCATGCAAATCGCTCCATTTTTCTTGTAGGCTCAGAAGTTAAGATACAGAGATGGATCAATCACCAAGCTCCCAATGACTGAACTGTTTCTAACCTTGTGCTTTCACAGCACAGGCAGAGATGGCACTGTCAGACTCTTTAGTCCTGGACTAGCACCTGGACTAGACACAGGCACTCTTGACATGCTGAGGGGCCCCTTTTACACTGGTGGCTGTAGCTTCTCAAATAGCATCCAGAGAGTTCTGTGGCAGCTATACTTAGGATGATTTTTGAAAGAATGATAAATAAAGCTACACCCAATCCAGGCAGGGTCTTTTTTTCTTTTATATTTCATAGCAAATGATTTTTTAATCTAAGTCACTGGCACATACCTAAAATACTGCGGATTTTTAACTGCAGAAGCTACTGGGAGAAATTAATTTTTGGAAAGGAAAAGAGTGTTGCTTGCAGGAGATGTGCTGTGAGATGCCAGAAAGACTGCATTAATGCAGCATCCCACTGGGATGGTTAGGTTGGTCCATCTTTGAAGTTGGAATATCACATTGCTGTGTAGTCAATTTTGTCTTCATGGGAGCCACGGGAGCTGTTTTTCCTTTTACATATGAGTTCTGCAGCAAATGCTGACACTCTAGAGAAGCAGGATATTCTGGCACCTGTATGAACTTTTGTGGAGCTGATCTCCATTGTGAAGATTTTACTATTACAGCCATACTGAGGAATCAAAATTAAGTGCTGCTTATCCTGGCAGAAGAGTAATTTCATTGGTATAGCTTATACTTAGTTGGTACACCATGTTTTGTAAGGAGTGGGAGTTTTTTTGTATAACAGACAATATATACCAATAACATAGCTGTGTTTGTAGATCATATTTTAGTGCAAGCTGAGAAAAATTCCAGCTTTTAGACAGCAATACAGCTGAGGTGAATAAAGTTTAGTGCGTGCCACATTTCAGTTTACTGCACAGCAGAATGAACATTGTCGTGACCCAGATCTTCTATCTTCAAAACATTACTTGGGAATTGAAACCTATCCATGTTAAGATCTACACTAAGCTCAGCTGGACTGAAAGTCCTGGCTATTTGAAAGTGATGGTGACATGCCTGAAATAAACTTCAGCTTTTAAAATGAGTAGGATGCAAGTAAAATGGTATTCCAAAATTGAGTCTAGATTTAAAAGGTCACAGTCAAAGTAGAAAATATTTTTCCTTGTCTAAATTTTAATATAAAGCAAATTCATTATGAGTGTAAGTTTATGATTAATAAACAAATACATAATTTTTTATGGTTTTGCACTTAGATTAAGTTTTTAAGCTTCCTAAAATAAAGCTTTGTTTAAAACATACATACAATCATGGTGTATTGAAATAATTTGGATTTTAAAATATTTTTGATGAACTGCAACACTTTGGAGTAGGAGACTGGTGATTTCATCTTGTATTTATGTTCCTAGTCAATTTTTTTACATCACCTAACTTGAATATGAATCTAAGATAAAGATGTAAAAAAAGTGCATTAACCACATAATTAGTCTATATATTGGGGACACTCAGGAAGAAATCGATTAATATAGACTAACAATGTAATTAATTTCTACAAGTACTGTAATTTTAAAGGAGGTAATTGGGGAGAACTTTCACACTAAGGTAATGTGAAATATCGATGCTATATATATATGTATATATACGTGTGTATATATATATATATATATATGCTATAGACATCAGAAGCTGTTAAGCAATAGAAAACCAGCGAAAGATCTACTTTTCCCTTAGAGATCTCTTACTGTCTAAAGAGGACTGAAAGACCTGTGAAGTATAATTATAGTGATAAAATATAGTTTCAATCCATGAAAAAATCTCAAATAGATTTCTCTTGTTGTCAAACATAATTAAACAAATTTATCATGCCCTTTCTTGCCAGTTCTCTCACACCTGAGAGCATCAGGTCCCAGCTTCCCATTATTGCCCCTTGATTATTATCCTGCTGCCAGGGAAATTTCTTGCCATCTCTCGCCACAGGTTTTCAAGCAGTCTTGTTCCCTTGGGATCCCAGGCTGCATCTCTCTGGATTCTCTGTGATGCTGTGGGAATAAAAGTTACTACAGCTGAAGGTAATAATTGCAAACAGAAGACAATAAAGGAAAGGGTGGTACTAGAGACAATGGGCTTATTTAGAGGGAATGACAGCAAAAGTTGGGGTCCACAAGATACTGGAAAAGATAAATTAGGAATGAAATATAGTTTTAGCACAGATGCCACAAGGAATATTATTAACTTTTGTACCCTATATAATTATTTAGGCACAGAATTAATACTTATATTTTAGACATTTTTATATATATCCGGATTTCCTATGCTATGTCAAGGAGGCCTTTGGTGCCTCCAGAGCAAAATACATTTGCACAAGTCAGGTGCTCCCCCCAGTGGTCTTGGCTGATGCTCTCGGTGCTCCAGAGAACTTAAAGGCATTTATTTTACATAAACTGTTCCATAGCCAGCTAAAAAGTCTTCAGATTGAACTACATTATAAAGTTATTTAATTAAATAGTTCCACTTACTTTTTTCCTTGAAATCAAGTAAATACATGAATATTTTCTGAATGTGGATTTGGTAGCACTCTTGGGGTCCTGTGTAGGAAGGACCAGAGAGTCCTCACAAAACAGACTTTAATGCAGAAGTGCCAGTGAAGTGAGAAACATGGACTTCCAAGGTTGCATTAGCTTGAGCAAAGCCTGCTAAAGCAGGTGTTCTGGGATACAAGTACATACTCCCACACTGGATTCCACAAGGTGATTGCATCTCCAAGGAAAGGGTTTCAACCACTGGAACAGGCAGCTCTGGAGGGGTGGTAGAGCTCCTATTACTGGAGGTGTCAGAGAACAGACTGTAAGTGGTAGCAAGTGCCATGGTGTAGTTGGCATGGCAGTGTTCAGTCAAAAGCTGGACTCAATGACCTCAGAGGTCTTTCCCAGCCTAATTGATTCTGTGATTCTATTTAATGCAGTCAGGTTGGCTCCTAATGGGAAACAACAGCATCCATATGTGTAAGTACCTAAAGGGGGATGTCGAGTCAGAAGGAGCCAGACTCTTCTCAGTGGTGCCAACCACCAGAACAAGAGGCACCAGGCAGAAACTGATGCACAGGAAGTTCCACCTGAATACAAGGAAGAACTTCTCCAGTGTGTGGGTGCCAGAGCACTAGAACAGATTTCTCAGAGAGGTTGCAGAGTCTCCCTGACTGGAGATATTAAAAAATCATCTGGATGCAGTCCTGAGCAGGGGGGGTTGGACCAATGACCCTCTGTGGTCCCTTCCAGCCTTACCTGCTCTGTGATTCTGTATCCACTGCACTGATTCACTCACACCTCCTGACAGCAGAGCAGGAGTACAGAGCACAAGAGCTCCCAAAAGTGGTGGTTGGCATACATGGCTCCATTAAGAGAAACCCTCAAAACTCTCATGCATTGTTACATCTCTACAGCAGCACTAATCCTGTTTATGAGGGTAGGAAGCCGAAGCTGACCTCTCTGTTGACCCAATGGATGCTGCCTTGGGTCAGTGCATGCCAGCAGGGAGGATGAGGGGCAGTGCTCAGGAGCACAGAGAGGGGAGGACAAGGCTGCGGGCCTCGGTCTTACCCCAACCCTGGGCATGAGGAGGCAGGATCCCTGCCCTAAATCTAGAATCCTAATCCTCACCAGAGCACAGCCTGCCTGGCCAGCACATAGAACACATCCTGTGAGGAGCAGCTGAGGAAGCTGGGGGGTTTTGGCCTGAAGAAAAGGCCAAAACCCTGGGGAGATAATTCTCTCCATAACTCCCTGAGAAAAGGTTGGAGTGAGGCAGGGACTGGTTTGTTCTGCCGTGTCTGCAGTGAGGACAACGGGAAATGAGAGAGAGGAGAAATGAGACGGAGGAGATTCAAATTAGATATTAGAAAAAAATATTCATTATTAGGGTGGTCAGGCATTGGAACAGGCTGCCCAGGAAGGTGGTAGTCACCATCCCTGGACGTGTTCAAGAGATGACTGGATCTGGCACTGGGTGACGCGGTTTAGTGGTTTAGGGGTCACAGTGGTAGTGCCGGGTGGATAATCGGACCGGATGATCTTGCGTGTCTCTCCCACTCCTGACGATTCCGTGCCTCCATCACTCCAGGACTCCCTGGTCTGGGCGGGCCGCGCCCGCCGTGCCCCCTTCCGCAGCGCCGCGGCCGAGTGCGCA